GCAGCTCAAGTGAATGTGGATTGGATGAAACGTTCGTTTGGTGAGGAGAGAGTAAAGCAGTCTAGGAAGGTATGGATTTTCATGCTGTCGAAGATCACGGCACAATCTATTCAAGGGCAATTGCTCGCAGCGGAGAGTCCGCAAGCCGGGTACAAAATTTTCTTGGACTACTACCGACGCAGTAAAAACGAGGAAAGACAGACGTTTGATGATCAGTGGAATGTGCTGTGTCAGAGGAATGGAGAAAGTTTGATGGACTACTTTGGTAGAGCTAAGGCGCTTTGGATGAGACTGGTGTCATACGGTGATAATCGTGCTGAAGTGTCCATGTGCAAGCACATCGCTCGGGGTTTTTTGCCAGAATTTGAGAAAATTAAAGAGCGTGTCCTTTTTCACCCCATGTTGTCGAGTGCACAAATGCAGGAGGCGTTGAGGACGGCTGAGCACGAGCAGAGGTACGAGCGGAGGTCTGGAGAGAGAGGAGAGGAGACGAGGCACGCCCTCGTCGCTGCCGGCATGGGCCGGGGCGGCGGGCAGAGGAGACCAGCCATTGTCGGCATGGGTCACGGCGGACCGCAGCAGCAGCAGCAGCAGCAGCAGCCACAGGGCGTCGTCGATGCAGCCACCGCAGCAGCAGCAGCGGCAGCAGCAGCAGCAGCAGCAGCAGCAGCTGGGACCGTACATCTGCCAGTACCACGGGCCCAACACCTCGCACGCGACCGCTGACTGTCACAAGTTGCGCAGCGAGTTCCTGGCGAATTACAACGAGATCAGCGCGTACTTGAGCGGCAGGAGGGACGCCGAGGCGGCCGCTCATCCACGAGGCGGATCGCAGAACCTGGGGCGGGTTGGTGGTCCATCAGTACAGCAGTCGTACCAATTCCAACACGGTGCGGGCTGGAGTCAGGGCCACCCTCATGCGCCTCAGGGGCCGCCGCGTGGGCCAGGACCCGGAGCTGGGGGGCAGATGCAGGGGCGCAACGATGGGGGACGGGGCTACGGCGGCTACGGGCCTCGCCCCTACGAAAGCCGTGGGCAAGGCGGCGGCCGCGGGGGCAATTTCCCGCCGGCCAACGTACCTGCAGGGCAGCTTGCCAGCGTCCCGCGGCCCTTTTTTCCGGCTCACCTGGCCATCGGGGGCGGAGATTCGTTCGGTGGCGAAAGCAGCTCGGGATGGCAGCAAACGTCGGCGCCGGCACCCACGCCAAGCTGGGCCCCATCACCTTCCGAGGCGGGATACGGGTATGGGCTCGCGGCTCACGGGGGGAACCACAGCGGCGGTTCCTACGGCAACGCCGGCGGGGGATTTGGCTTCGGCTATTTTTCCGAAGACGGCGGGCCGCACCAGCAGCAGGAGGCCAACGTAACATACTGCCCTTCTGCTACAGGTCCTGACGCGTATCAGCCGAGAGTCTACAACGAGGCCTTCTACGTCTCGGAGCAGCCGGCGCCCTTCCCGCAGCAGCAGGCGAGTTTTGAGCAGCAGCAGGAGCAGCAGTACCACGGCGTGCCTCAGGCGGCCTCTTCCTCCTCCTCTCCCTCTCCAGATCCAGGCGACGTTCTACCTCCTGCTGGCGACGCCCCTCTTCGTCTCTTCATGGCACGAAGTGTGTGCCCTCGAGGCAAGTTTGATTCTTTTCTTGAGTCTGCGTTTGGTTTTAAGGCGTCTGACGTTTTCGTACCTGCTGTACCCGGTGTTGACCCTGAAATGCTTGCGAGTCACGATAGGAATCACTGTTTTTCTGAGCAAGATTTGCACAGGGTTGCTTCTCCGAGTCTGTCTGCGATGTTCGAGAATTATGAGAAGGAGACCGATTTTCATGAGACTGATGCGATTGTGCCCGCTGTGCCTGACGTGGTTGTGAGTACTGAGTCTGATGGGATAATGCATGCTGTCCATGATGTGAGGGTGCCTTCTATGCCTGCTGTGATCGCGACTGCTGAGCCGGATAAGATTGTGCCTGCTGCCTCTGATGTATCTGGAATGCTAATTGTAGCTCGTGTCACCAAGCGTCCCACAGTAGACAAAGCTTTTCTATGCCAACCGTACATGCCGAATCCGAAGGGTAGCGAGCAGTGGCAGGCCGATTCTGGAGCGAGCGCGATGATTTCGAACCAGATAGATCACATGTACGACATTCGCCACTTGGGCCAGGATGAACAATTTATTCAAATTGGAGACTCGGCTCTCATCAAGGTTGCAGCTGTAGGAAGCTTAGACCTTCGGTTCCACCAAATC